TTGCAAGAATGCTAGGTTTCCACTTTGAAAAGCTAGCACAGCCAGTAAGCTTATTATACAAAATATTTTTAATCTTTCCTTTTATGAAAATAAACTATTATACAAAATAATCACTCAGCAATATAGCAGCACATCTTACCACATACGCTTTCATTAGTATGCAATAAGTCTCTATCACTGTCACAGACACTGCAGAAAGAACAAATTTCAACAGTGTAGTAAAACTCAACCGTTAACTTTATTAAATATTTCAGTTTTTCCAAGTGGAGACCCATTCAGTCTCCTGCTACATCATGCTTCCCCCAGTGAGGAGTGCTCCAAAAGTCGGTATAAAAAGGCAGGAGCCAGTGGGTTTTGTGTGGGCAGGAGCCACGCAAAGAAACTGTTCTGATGTGACCGTTTCAGGAGCTAGCCGCTGTGTAAGAGGTTTAAAGGACAATACAATATAATCGCTATTAAATATATAATTTTGAACACAATCACCCCCCTACACACACTTACTTGCATACTATGTCGTTACTGTCCTTGTTTACTATGCAGTGTCCCCCATGACATCTGATACACTTGTCCACTTCACATTTTGGACCTTCAAACCGTACTGGACAGACACATTCTACGCTTCCATCATCAGAAATAGTACATGATTCAGAATTCACACAATAATGGTGGCAAACATCTGCAAACAACATGAAAGCTAATTACTAAAATACGTTAAGGAGTATCGTAGTAAAAACAATACCTTACTTTTACATGTTTTAAAGGGTACTATAATAAAAACAAAATGATGAATGAAGCTGGCAGCTCATTGCCAACTAAAAGAATCAAGAACACTCCATAAAAAGATACATAATATATTAATGATGTAGTCTTGAGAAGTGAAACAGAAGGACAAACTCATAAAGAGATTTTTTTTTTTTTCCTTCTAGATATCTAACTATTTATGGCATCATCCCACATAATAGGAAGACTACTGATGAGAAAAGCAGAGCAATGTTAATGTATTTAATGGGATATTGGCTGGATAAAAATCTTTTGATACATTCACATTAGCATGAACAGCATTATGCTAAACTGAAATGGAAACAGTATTTTGAAATAATTAAGTTTTATTTTCATTTATCCACATACTAAAATTTAATTAATTTTTAATAGCAATATATACATAATCCATACATTCTACAAAAAAACTACATCCATGCTTATCTTTATAGACTGTGCAAGACCCCATTATCTTATTTAACTGCTTAAAAGTCAGCAGGGTATTTCTGCTGATATATTACTGATATTTCAAGTAGTGGATTCTTTAACTCTTTAGAAGTGCCAGTAACTGTCTCACTTTTTTCATATCCCTTTAAAAAAATACAAGTTTCCTGAGTGAAGAAGCTTCCAGGGCTGCAAACTACTGGCATCTTAACACTGAGGTTAATTCTTATTTATCTAGTAGTCACAACTTTCCTTTGATTAGAGAGGTGGGTATTTTAAGTCCTGTCATTTAAACTTTTTAATGGGACCAAATCATTCAAACTCTCTATTTCTCCCAGCTTCTAATAATTTCTTCAGCTATGTATAGTTAATATGTTGTGTTGAGCTTTTAGTGTGGTTCTTGATGGGCAGATGAATTAATTGATATATAAGATGTATCAATTCTGAACTATGCATCTGTATTAGCTTAGAGTTAAACTGGTTCATATTTATCAAATATTACCCTTCTGTCAAAACTAAAAAATTCAAGTCCTTTAAAGCACAAGATATGGCCAAGGGTGAGTCAGTAGCAGGCTAGAAGTTGGACATTATCAAGCTGTTCACTAGGCACCAAGGTTTCCTTGGCTAAAAGGCAACTTCAGCCTTGAGTCTGGAAGTGTAAACTCTCCAGCTGCCATGTGACTGCGCAACACATTGCAAGCAGCAAGTTGGAGACTGCTAAAATTGATATATTTTACTGAGTGCATTCAGGATGGATGATTTGTGAGGGTTTCTCATAAAGTGGGAAACATTTTGCTTACACTTCTCTTTGGGCTCAGTCTTTCTCCCTCTCTGAGAAATATGTGCTGACTGCCATGCTGTTGGTACTCATCATGCTGGAATAGTTCTGCTAAAGGACAAAGCAGTTGACTCTTGGAGGAGTTATTTCTGTTTGATTGCTCATTGGGTGTCTCTACGCAGGCTGTAGACTCATCTACTCATGGAATCATTACTGAGCAACCAGAGAGTCTTAAAAGATACTCAGTGAAGGAGTTCATTGTTTGCCGTTCCTCATTTCGAGGTACAGAATGGTAATTTGCAGCAGGGGGGCTGTTTTTTGAATAAAAACTACCATAGTTTGAAAGCTAATATTGAGAGACATTTAATGAAAAAAGCATTGAAAGGGGGAAATGTTTCCACATACATTAGGACAAACACGCCCCCCTCCCCCAAAAAAACATCCCACCTAGGAATACGATGTTCATACTCTAGAACAATTATTGGTTTTTAGTATTGATTGTAGTCACAGACACCTTTAATCTTCAGCTAGATCTAAAATGCATATGCTACATTTAGACTGAAATGACACAATTATATTTTTTTCCCCTTAAAGAAAGGAATTTCAGTTTCAGGGAAAGTAACAGCTCATGAGATCACTATATCCACTTTGAATGATTGGAACTCCGGGAAAACGTTTTCTATTTTTTAGGTTGTTTGGGCCTTAAATGATACAAAAAATGAACTTTAACTGGTCTGTATGTCTTATTCCAGGAATTTAAAATAGGGAGTTTTATTCAAATACATCAAATGCATGTGTATATAATATCATGCACAATATTAGTGGAATTCTATGTAAATTCATTCACTTAAATTTATTTCAGCAGTGCCAGTGCCTTGACACAGAGCACACATTTTGGTTATTAGCCCTTATGTGAACTAATCACGGGAGAAACTCTGCATTGGGTAATTGGAGATGATAAGTATGAGGAAAATAAGGTCTTTGCAATCTGGCAATACTGCAAATAAATGTCTTCTCCCTGCCATAAAAAACACTAATAGTACTTTCAGCTTGGCAGCATGAGTAAAATACCTATGCACATTCATGTATCATCCTTTGCATATGAACTAGTTTCAATCACATCACAAAAAGACTGAAAAAGATATCTTGGAGGCAACCAATCTTTGCAGTAAATGCTATATTAATGTATTCCAACATGCATCCAACGTGAATGTGATTAATAAAGCCAAAAATCATACGTATGTGTGAATAAAGCAAAAAATCATAGACGTGAATTTATGTACACATTTTTAACTGTAAACCTGTCCAATTTCATAGAACTGCTATTGGCCAAAAAAAAATACTCTAAAAGATTGTAAGACTTTTTTTTTTTTTCCCTAAAAGTATTAAGGTTTAAATAAACAAACCCTTAATTTTATTTTGTATTTTATAAAGTGTTTGAGTCTCTGTATCACGGTATTTTTCCAAAGTGTCAGCAGACAGTCCAAATCTGATAATAAGCACTGTTTAAAAAGTACCCCTAAATTTCCATTTAAATTAATTCTTAAAAAAAAAAAAAAAAAAAATGTTTGCAGAAGCATTCAACTAGAAACAATTTGTTTGGTTTTGGGTAAGCCTCAAGTAAATATTTTTTCTTAATCTATGTGTCTGTCTGTGCATGATTTATGTACTATACTGTTTTCAAATACCCAATTGTGTTTGCAGATAGTTATTTGTGGATCCATGCAGTTTGTTTAATACCAAGTGGGAAAGAATCACAATTACTGCTGGTTTCCCATTCAAAGGTTTCAATTTATTTCATAGTCTCTCAACTGGAAATACATTCAGTTTACTTCAGTACGAATCCTATTTAAGATACATACTAACCCTTTCCTTGTTTGACAGACCTTTCACTAAAACTAAATACTTCCTGTATCTTGTAGATAATTCTAAACCAGGCCTTTATAACAGCTAATATCCCTTCCATTTTGTTTAAACCTAGTCGTCTTCGGCAAATTCACTAAATCATGTATAAAAGAGATGATGGCTTTCACATTTAATGTTCTATTCTATAACAAGCGCTATGACAGTCTGTTTTATATAGTCAAAGCAAAGCAGGGGTAGCAAAAAGATTTTAAAATAAAATTTTGATCTCAGAAAAATAATCAATTTTAGTTTAGACTTGCTAGCGAGTCATCATGTTGAAGAGACATAAGAAAGACAAACACTAATTTTGGAATGAGTTACCGAAAGAATTTAAGATGATGTCCAAATGTCTTGAGTTAGTGGAAAACAGAAAATGGTGATCAATGGTAAGATAAAGCATGGAGAAGAAAGATAAATGGAGTAAGAACGGAAGGCCTATTGGTTGATAACCTTCTTTCCCCTCTCCTCTGTAAAAGAAGGAAAAATTTAGAGAAAGTTCTAAAAAGTGAGAAGAAACTTTCTAAATGCACAGAAGCCTTTGAGAAGAGACTGATGGGTCAGTGGAATGAAAAACCATAGAGAACTTCAGATGCAGAGGCTAGAACCTAAGCCCTGAGAATTAAACGAGAGTAATAGGAATCCTAGGAAGGGTCAGAAACCATACTGAAGGTGATCTTAGACTGAGCAAGATGAAGGAATACAGAAGCATGAATCTCAAAGTAGTAGCTGTCAATATGCTGCTTTACTGGGGTTGGAAATAAAAACAAAAGGTAAGGTAGCAGCTAGAGACAGATGTGTCGGTCTGCAAAGGTGAGGGATGCCAGAGAAATTCCTGAACCAGCTGCTGTCTTCACTGTGTTTAGGTATTCCACCAGCATTTGATAACAAATATGAGAAGTTGAAGTAGAAAATTTTAAACACAGTTACCTCATTTCTGTGGATGAAGCCAGCTGACTTGTGTTGCTCCATTGTATGTATTCATTCATGAAAATACTAAAATAAGTGTTTCTTAAGAAAGCTTTTTTCTTTTTCTCCTACACAAGTAGCTGGATATTGCGGAAATATGTTCACAGATCACTTGAATACACCAGACTCCAAGATGAAGATTACTTACAATACTGACATCGGTCTCCTGTATACTCAGGCAAACAGCTGCAAAGGGGTTGATTCCCAGCAGTGACACCGCAGGTTCCTCCGTTTTGGCAAAAATGATCACAGACCGTCTGATTGCAGTTTGGTCCTGTAAAACCCTGCGCACAGTTGCAGGTAGGCCTCCCTGTTCAAAACAAAGAAAACTATTTTATGATAAAATAAAGATGAAAATAATCATCAGCACTTTAAAGATAGATACATTTACCGTAACAGTAGCAAGTTTTAATGTGAGCCCAACTACATTTCTCTAGACACTAACAAAACTTGCCTTTGCAAACATGGCTTGAACTCAGAACTTTTTAAAAAGCAAGTTAACACTGTAAGACATGGACACCTCAAAAACTGCAACTATGCAGTTTACACTTGTGCATGCATGGTCATTGACTCTTTATTTGGGAATTACTTTAAAATATGGTCTTAACTAGGGATTTAACATATGACTACGCTCTTCAAATTATCCTGCCAGGCTGGGAACCTGCAGTTGCAGAGGATAAACGTTTGTGTAATTAATGTCGATGCCCCTTCAGAATACACTCCATTATTCTCAAATCTACAAACCTTTACATATAATCACATGAATATACAAATATTCATTAATGCGCTAATAGACAACTTCACATAACAAATTTTACTAACACACAAATGTCTGTGCCTGCTTTATTGTCCTATCCCTCTCAAATAATAAATAAAATAACATAAAAAAAACCCCAAAGATGTCTGTAAGGTCAATATTCAATGTCAGAAAACTAGTGAAGACCTAGGGATGAACATTTGCACAAAATTAACTCCTATTCTATAGCTTCTTTTTAAAGGGTTTTAAAATAGTGTTTAGAACCCGACGCATTTTCCTCCTATGATTCTTGCCTATTGTAATTTTCCCAATTTTTTTTTCCACTATCTAAATCTCATGTCCAAAGAATTTATAGCTTTGTTACAATTCCACTGTTTACTAAGCTCTCCCACTTTTCCAAGGCTTTTTTCTTAAGACTTACCTTATTTAAAACAGAATTCTAGATCCCACAAACGTTCTTCCATTTCCTGACTTTGCTTTTGTATCTCATTTCTCATCTTCTGTTCAAGTGAATGACCTGATGTGTCCAACTAGCTATCTCCCTGCTCACTTTCTAATAATCTATTCTCATTCTTGTTTATCTCCTCCAAAACATTATTTTTCCCCAACCCTCCTTCCCTTTGCTTTCATTCAGCCTTTAGGGTTTTCTTAAACTTAGGGAAAACAGACTGAGTTTAACACTCCTCTTCTTCCTCGCTTCCAAGATGGGTAAGGAAAGAGATGAAGATTAATCAGGACGTGAGGACACTTCTGAAATAAAGTGGCAGGCAAGTTGGTCTTTGTTTGAATCATAAGGAACTCAACCTGCTGACAAAGTACAATCAAGAGCTTAACTGGGTCACTGCAGAGTAAGGGACGGCTGACAGGCAAAGACTCACCCCTTCCAGTAAAGTCAGAGAAATGCCGTATCTCTGAGTGAAGGACTGTGCATAGGCTAGCAACAGCCAAAGAGTAAATAGGTATCAGGAAAGGAATGACAAGTAGACTACAGAAAAGCAAAACAGTAACACATGTGCTTTACATAAGTGGTAAAAGCCTAAGAATTAAGATGGGAGAACTGAAATGTCTCGTCTTGAATGGGAATGTCAATATAATTGTTTACGGCAAATTTAGAAAAGGAAGGCAACTAACAGGCTACTGTAAAAATAATACACTTTTCCTTGATATCTAGTTTTTGCCATTGATGGAATAGAGCTACGCATTAAGAAGTGTCAATCAGATCAGTAAGTTAACTACATCGTGTACCATACGTGTGATGCTGGAGCCCTTTGGACTGGAACTGCAGGCATAAACAGGAAAAATACCCTACTAGATTTTAGTTTTATTTAATAAGAAATTATTATTTATTACTATTTATGACAGCCCAATCAAGGTAATTGATGATACAATGGCGGAATCCAAAAGAGATCAGAGAAAGTCAGAGAATACATTAGTGATGAGAAATTTATCCCTGTTACCCAGTTATCCCTGCATTTCATTTGAAAAACTTCACACAACACAGAGCAGAAATGAACTTATGTATAAACGATCCTACTTCATGGAGGGGTGGGTTATCGAGCACACAAAAGCAGCTGTGCTTGACTTGGGCCTGACTTGGTTTGAAATGTACAGTAGAGCCCAAATCCTAAGTAGTCAAATGAAATAACATTTAAGGGTTACTTTTCCATAATCATTACCTCTCAGCTTCATACTGATCTACCAGGAAATCCTTACTGCTGCCTGATCTACTGATGCATTACGACTAGGTCCCTTCCTTGCCGTCTTTTGCCTTATTCATTGTTTCCTCATTTTAATACGATGTCTGGTGTAGGTATCCACAACTACTTTCACATTTGCCTCCTGGTGTCTTTTACCACAGCTACATCTAAATTTCTGAAATGTGCAACCATTCTTACCTTTTTTTTTTTCCTTCTCTGTTCAGATGTCTGTCTCAGTACTGTAGATTCAATATTCCATAAACCCCACAATTCCAATTTTCTTTTGGTCTGCTTTTATTTTAATATTATGTAATCATTTAGTATTGTATTTGTTGGAGAATTTTTCAACACAAGTGAAGTGCCTTCATTTTTTCTACCCTCTCTGATTCATGCAGAATGATTGATTTATTCTTATTCCTTCACTTTGTACTCTTCTTATATTAAACCCTTCATGTATTTTTTTCCTATATTTACTATTTTAAACTATGCTAATTTAAAGTGTTTTGCAAATCATCCTAGAGACCATGAGATCAGTTAGTCTCTTCCTCTAATGAGTACAGCAGGAACAAAACCATTGACTTAAAAATAGCTCCAACTAGTTTAATATGCATCAGCCTGGTTATTCACATCTGTCCCCTGTGATCTAAACATCAAATGAAGGATGTTGAACTCAGATGTTAGCACCGGCTTTTTTTGTTTTTCCCCATGTATACATTTGTATTAAAATTTCTCCCCCTAAGCCAGAGGGTTTCACATAATCTGATAAATCTGAAACAGCGCTTCAATAAAAAAGTTAAAATAAAATAGTGATAGAACACAGATCTAGAGATCTGAAATCAGTTTTTATTATTGATATTTCTCTATTTCTTTTAATGATGGGGCAATGATATTTTCCTAGTTTGTAAAAAAGATTATTCTATTCTTTGCTAATGTAGGCTTATAAATATGTCAAACTGCTGACAGTTATATGAAAATTTAATTTGGTATAGCCTAAAACCCGTTTTTGTCACTCAATTTAACATGACTTTTAGTAACGTTAATAGTTCATTGCCTATTTATACACAGCCTGTTGGCATCTAAAATAATACTGATAATGACATTTTAATCTGCTTTATTGTCAGAAATTATTTCTTATACAAAATGCTTCCAAGAACAGTTTAATAAAACTGCAGTATTAAACAATGACAAACAATGCCATAAGGTTCTGTATCATAGAATCAGAATATTGATTTATGTTTGCAAAGGAAATAGTCACATTAACCATAACTAACAAACATTGCATGGTAAGTCATGCACAGGAAACTTCAGCATTTACACTGGACATGAAGTTTCAGGATTAGAGCTGTGGAGAGACAGCAGTGACATTGTCTCAATTTCTGACTTTCACCACCACAGAAACATTCACAGCACATTACGGTATAGAAAAGTAATTAATAAGGAAGGGAATTAATGGCATATTAAACTGTTTCATATTCAGCTAACCGTTTTATGGTTTATTTCATGCAAAAAATGAGCAAAAAATCATTTTCTGAAAGAAAACACAAGAAAATTTCCCTGGTTTGAGCTCTTCCTTCTTCAGTGCAATCCTCAACTGGATTTACTGTATGAGAATTCCGTCTTGTTTTCCTCTGCCCGTTACAAATTAGCATCCTAGCTCTCACCTATCCTCCTCTCCAGTCTCCTCCGTAACATCATAATTCCAAGAAAAATTTCCTGTTTTGATCACCTATGTTGAAAAACGTTGTTTGTCAAAGTGGCACGGAGAACAAGGTGGCAGAACATTCCCAGCATCTCACATGTAAATGTTCCAACTTGAAAACCACAGTGATAATATCTAAAGAGCAAGAATTTTTTGACCGGAATGTTTCCATCCTCAGTGATTTACAACGAATGTGCATGCACTTTGCTATGTTTTGTCTCTAATCCAACACTTAGATTGAGTTTCGCACTATATATATATATGCAAGTGGAAACATAATGCATGTGGGTCCTCTATTAATGACAGAATTTTGTATTTAAAATAATTCTAAACAGCAATTCTAAAGAAATTAATTGCAGAGAATACATCAAAGGGTGCCTGGTAAGACATATAAAACAAGTAACAAAAATAATATGAAAATTCTCTGGGGAAACAACGTACTTGAAAGTCACTATTACCTGAAGATTCTCTGTGTAGCCTCTCTCAAAAAAATAAGTACGATAACATACAGAATTTTTTATTTTCATTTTAGAACTCATAGAACTTCAAACAAACATAAAATTCCTACACACGGAATCAAGTGTTTTGCACAGAATTTAGTAAATTAAAGGAGAATACTTTATGGTGACACTAGGACACATGAAGTTATTTTTGGCAGTAGTATATGAACAAATTTGTGAAGTATTTGTCATGAAGATGAAATGCAGTTTCCCCCTTTCTCACAAAGAAAAATCATGCATAAGATGATGATAGGGATCAAAATGTTCGGTTAGGTTTCTTTTTTTTTCCAACTGGATCAATAGGCCGAGATAATTGTATGAGGTTTAATAAGGCTAAGTGCAGGG